GAAGACGACGAGTTCAAATGTGATTGCTGCGGCTTCGAATGCGAAGACCGTGTTCAGGTAGTCGCGGAATGTCCGTGATATAAGGAGAGGGAAGTGTACGTGACTGAGCTGGGAAAAATAGATGGGACGTACAGGGAGATGTTTGAGGCATGGAATAGAGAGGAAAGGACGGTAGTTGTACTGGGGCATAGGAGGTGGGTTGAAAAGGCGGGAAGGGATATCGTTGGGATAGACAGACTAGGGACGACATTTCTGAGCCACCTTTGGCAAAGTAGAAAGGAACGATTGGCCATCGGTGATGGGTCCTGTGGGAACAATGCTCCGTCGTCTCGAGGACGTGTGGTCAATGGTCTAACCTCTATGGCATGCAAAACATAAGAGTACGCCCCCCCCCCCCCCCCCGTCTTTTTATGTCCTCGACCCCCAATCAATCCCCGTCCCTCCCTCCGCTTTTCATCGAACAGACCAGTGATATTCGTGGGCCCCTTGGAGCACCACTCCAACCTGCTCCCCTGGAGGGAAAGCTGCGGGGAGGTGGTGACGGTTCGGGAAAACCGTTCTTCGGGAGGGGTTGATCTCGCCCACCTGGAGGATCAGCTTCGGCGGTTCGCGAGCCGGAGGCTGAAAATAGGTGTGTGTGTGTGTGTGTGTGTGTGATGGGCGTGGTGTGGCCACATACGTAATACGATGTATACAGCATGCGTGCAACAAGATATGTGTTCACTTGGGTGTGCACGTGCGAACACACATCTTCTCTCTCTGTCTCTCTCTTGTGTGTGTGTGTGTCTCCCGCTTGGGACGCGCACATACATTTGCATGAGTTTGTTCCTCGCGTGTGCGTTCATGCTTTCGAAGTCGAGGTTTCCTTATTTCTCTCTCGTGGCTTTGGAGCACCCGCCGTGATGGTTTGGGTTTGCTACCGGTGTGCATGTTACCAACGGAATATATGCTGTCTCCGCATCTCGATGCGAGAAGATTGGTGTGTGGCCACCGAGGGTGTGGGGTAGTGATTTCATCGATGACATGAGTAGAATACTGACAATCGATGCGCACGGCCTGTGGCCACGGAAGGCGTCCGCTCAGTTGGACCAGTACGGATGTTAGGCAGGTGCGAGCGGAGAGCGGAACGGTTTTTCATCTGACGACAACAACAACAACAACAACAACAACAACAACAACAACAGCAACAACAACAACAACAACAGCAACAACAAAAACAACAACAATGCCATCGGAACCGTTCTCAGGCGCCTTCTCCGCGGCCTCCAACGTTACCGGCCTCCTGGAAGACGTGGACAAGGTGACGGCCACCCTGCATCGGGCGGGGGCGTTGGCGCTCTGGGACTACGCCACGGCCGCCCCCTACGTGCACGTGGACATGAACCCTTCCGCCTCTGGCCTAGAGGACGACCAGGTAGAAAAAAGGCTACTGCTTGTTGCGTATTTCATAGGCGTTTTTGTTTTTTTCTTCCAAAGCTGCCGTCA